TTATTTCTATTTTTCAGTAGAGACAGAGTCTTGCTCTCGCTCAGGCTGGTCTTGAACTTCTGTGCTCAAATGATCTGCCCCCGTCGGCCTCCCATAGTGCTAGGATTACAGGCATGAGCCACTGCACCCGGCCCTTGATACAAAGTCTTAAGCAAAGAATATTATTTTTTTAAGGAATTTTTTTGTGAAACCAATGAAAAATTTCTGATGTTACTTTTCTCATCTTATGACTATTTTCTGGAAGGACGAAGTATGTTGTCAGTGCCTCCATTACATGCATGAGGAAGTCAGGACAGGGGGGGCCCCCAGCCCAGTCCCATGGTGAATCAGTCGTGGTCTCCCCGGGAGGCCTCAGGACAACCTCAGCCTCTGTCTGCTCAGCTCCTTCCTCTGCATGTGTAGCTCCCATTTAGGATTAAATACTGAATTCAGTTCTCCAGAAGGGTTAAAAGCACCAGCAGCATGTGGCTTTCAGGAGCTTCTCGATGTTTGCTTGGTGCTTTCCAGGTCCTTCTGAGCACCAGTCTCCTGTCTGGGACTTCTGTGTTTTGGCTGAAGCTGGTATCCACATTCATTCACAGAACATTCCGTTTCACCTCAGTTTCTGATGGGGGAAGAATGGTCATGTTAATCCACTGCCTTTGGGTGGCTTCAGGGCTTGCATGAGGGCTGTGGTGAAAGGCGTGCTTTCCTTCTTGGGGAAGCCTCGTTGGTGATGTCCCAATGAGTAACAGGCCCAGTTATTCCCAGGGCCTTGATACTCACAGTGAATTCTTTGTCCTTTGAGAAGTAAAACAACAAAAGGTCAGTCAGGAGGAGGGTGTGATTTGTGTAGCACTTTAGCATTTAGTGAATGTTCACCACAGCCTTGTTTCATCAGCTGATCAGCATTGGCTCTTCCTATAACTATGGAAATGAGGATCAGGCGGAATTCCTCTGTGTGGTCTCCAGAGAACTAAATAATTCTACCAATGGCATCGTTATAGAGCCGAGTGAAAAGGCAAAGGTAAGAAATCACCTCACTGGAATTGTGTCTCTATGGGCTTTGCCTTAACTGTTGCTTCTCATATATTCCCTCTTCTAAAGCCAGCTTTGCATTCCCCCTTCATTTTGTTACTTTGTCTGTTGTAATTTAAATCAGGGTTTATGGAGCCGTGAGGGTTTTTAGTTAGCTAGGAAATGTGAACCTGCAAACGGGAGACTTTCTCCAGCCTCTGCCAAATCAATGCAGAAGAAAAGCTTGCCACCAGTTACTATAAGATGAGGATTCTGGACTCAAAATTGGAAAGTATTTTGCATTTATCCTGTGAAACTATTGTTCTTTTTGGCTGCCTCAGAAGAAAAGGTATTTTCTTGCCTTTGTGATTTTTCCCCTCTTAAGTTCCTAGAAAATTGTTTCACTCTGTTTTCTTATTTTTCCTCTGCACTTACACACTTCTAAATCACCAGTATATGGTATGCTTGAACCATGTCCTTTAGCACAGGAAAATTTTGGTCTAATAGCACATAAACGTTAGGCCCAACTATGTTCTGCAAGATCGTGTTTTACAACTTGAGGGCTTTGGGTGAGGTTGAGGTCCGCTGCCGCCTTGCTTCCTGGGGTGACGGAATCGCTGGGCTGCTCGCCAGGGTCCAGCAGAGAGCGGCCTCGGGTCTCTTCCTTTTCCGTTGGCAGTCTGCCTACCAGCCTTGGCCTTCTCCCCGTCTCCCACTTTCAGATTCTTCAGGAGAGAGGATCACGGATGTAAAACTGAGAATCTGAGACACCAGAATCCCAAATGTCAAGAGAGCAATCCCGCAGAGCACCTCTGTGAAGTTCAATCTCGCTCCTGTACAGTAACCACGCTACTGCGAAGCAGAGCTGAGCCTGGCCCCCGAGTGGAGACATGTTCTGGTCAAAACCAAAGGAATCCCACCCCCACCCGTAGGACTCCGAAGACAGATGCAACTTCTGGCTGCAGAGTACTTTTTCAGAAACTTGCTTTTGTTTCCTTAGCCAGTATTGTAACAGATCTTTGCAACAGCAGCTGGACTAGGATCCCAACTGGAGCCTTTTGGGGATCTGGGAGAAGGGGGAGGACGGCCTAGCTCCTTGGAATGGCTTGGAGCAAAGGAAGGATTGTCCCTGAGCTGTGCCATGGTTTCACCCTAGCGTGCCACACTGGGCGTTGGCAGCTGCTTTGGAACACTGTCTTTCCTTCTCTGCACCCTCAGAGTCACACAGCAGATGCAGAGCGTTCCGGCTGCGGCTTGTCGAGTCGAGGTTTTAGATAAAGGGTAGGGTTGCCGGAGTACCCGATATTCCTATGAACAGAGCCTCTGTGAGGAGACGGAGGATGAGGTGTCCTTTGTTGTGGTTGGAGTTTGGATTCAGAGCACCAAGCTGCCACTGCGTGGAGCTGTGCCTCAGTTGTCTCCAGCAGCCAGGACCCTCCGGTGAACTTGCTTTTTCCCCACGAGGAGGTTTGAGTCAGAGAGACAGACAGACGGGAGCGTGAGGTAGTTGGTATAACTGCATCTGCAGCCTTTTCTTACCCAGCATTGATCCTGTCTTTCTTCCCTGGCTTTTTAAACCGGACCAAAGATAAAGGGACTTTGTGGACCCTCTTATGGCTTGGGATGGGGAGGACAGTTCTTTTGAAAGTTGCCAAACGTATTCTGTTATATCTTAAGAGAGCTGTAATTTCTGTGACTGTCCCTTGGAAATACCTTGACTGAATGTGCAATATTTGTGTCTCTTCTTGGTTTCTAGCCTTGGCAAACCCGCCCCACAGCGGTGTCAGCGACTCCGCAGTGTCCCCAGTAGCGTATACGTGTTTGCTGGGCAGTCTGGGACCCCCTGCGTCTCTCACCCACCCTCGCCATTACTTGTTTCTGTGGATGCCATGTTGCTGAGGGTCCAGTGCTTGTGTGACCAGGGTGTAGCGAAGCCCTCCTTTGGCTGTGACCACAAAGCTAGTGTCCACACCTTCTCTCTGAGGTTTTGAGTCTTGGGGAGTGGTCACGGAATGCAAAAGAGCCAGAGAATCCTTATTTTTCCCCGGACAACCTTCCCTGATGCGGCAAGTGGTAGGGAGAAGGCCAGGCGTCCTGGGCGCCTTCGCAGCTGAGGTTCTCTGTGCTCCGCAGCTTGAGTGCTTACTCGGCGCATCTAGGGCAGTGATTTCTAGAAACACTGTAGACTGTGCCAGGTGTCTTTTGAGCTTGTGACCTGACTGTGCCCAGATGGCTTAACTTTTCTCTAGGATTCTCACTTTTTCCCTTATTTCTCTGTATCTGTAGAGTAACATAGACACGTGCGTGCAGGGGTTTCTGCTGATACATTTATGTCTACACACCGCCGTGAGTATATATGTCAGCGCCTCAGAAGTCTGGCGCGTGCCCAGTATTTTTACAGCTGTAAAATGTTAGAGGAACTCCCACCTGTAGTAAAAGCAGCCACCCCTTCAAAAGGGTTCCAGGCATCCATCCTGCCAGATCTTTCAGGGAAGAAAAAGATTTGGGTGGAGTCAAGGTAACGTAGAGCTAGCAGGGAAAGCTGCTCTGAGCAGAGCAGGACAGAAGACTTGGGAAGTGGTGCCCTTTGGCCAAGTCGAATGCACAATGTCAGACTGACTAGGAGGAAAAGCAGCTTAACTCGGGGCCTTGCCCGATGGGCTTCATTGAGGCCGTCCTGCTTCCCTGGGGCGTGCCTGCCAGCCAGCGCGGCCAGGGCTCCGGGCTAGGCCATGAACCCCAGCTCTGCCACCAAGTGCAGGGGGAGGCTAGAGGGCGGACATTGGGCAAGTGCCTCCCGAGTACACCGTGACCGCGTTGCTCTTCTCAGAATTGCACAGCTGGGCGAGAGAAAGTCTGCAGTTGAGCCCCGAGCCAGGCACTCTGGGAAATGGGAGCGATCTTCTGCTGTCCTGGAGGGAGGGCTGGTGTTCACCAACTTTCCCTGCTCGCTGCAACCCAGTGACAGAATTGTTCTAGAACTCCAGGAGTCTGAGGATGATTCGTTTAAGATTTCTGGGAGAGAATTTTACCCACACCCTTTGTGAACCAAGCTGGTATTCCTTCTTGGAAGCCTTGTCCCCCTGGGAGATTCTGGCTGATGAGAGGAGTCTGCACGGTGGCTTGGGGCTGCCCTGTGACCGGTGACCCACACTCTTCTGCTCAGTACTGCCAAGTGGGGAGCTTCCTTCTGCCTTTTTCTCTGCCCTAGCTCTGAGACTACAGGTGATGCTGGCCAGGCCCGGGAGCACCTGGCATGCCCTGCGTGATGACAAAGTAGCACTGTTTCTGTCTTTTTCCCTGGCAATGAAGTGGGGCCCAGCTCCTCTAGAGTGACTTGTTTCTGCACAGTTCTAACTGCACTTGGGGGTGTGAGTGAGGTGGGGGTCCGTCAAGATGCTGAGGGAGTAGGGCTAAGAGGACACCCACACCCTCTGGCACAGCCTTGGATCCAGACTTTAGGGACGAGGCCTGTCACTTGTGGGTGCCCTTTGTTACTGTTCGTGTGTTTACTGAATAAAGTCTGAAGTGCTGTGACTTTTTTTGTCAATAAAGACATGAAACAAACTTATGAATTTTGCGAACTCTGGTGAATGTCCCATCACGCAGGCTCCCTGGTTTCTGGTCACTTTCTGTTGATCCTCGAACTAGTCTCTGGAGGTGGCTTCACTGCACCTCTCCTGGCCCTGCATCTCAGCCTCTCCTAGCCCTGCATCTCACAAAGCCCTCCTCGGCCTGCCGCTAATGCTGCCTGCGGGGGTGCAGGCCCTCTCCCTCCCTGCTGTCATTTCCCTGACTCTGAAGAGACCCAGAGAGTGCTGAGAAGCAGGAGTGGGGACAGATGGCCTGCCCTTTGGGGAGCTGGCGAGAAACTAGGGGAGGAGTATGAAGTGGCTTTTAAGGGAAAAGCCTCCGGGAAAGGAAAAGTGACTAGGAAAGGAAAAGTGACTTGCATTTTCTCTGCAAGAAAGAGGATGAGTAAGAAATGTTTGGTGACAGTCACATAAGCAACAAACAAGTATTGATCACTTAAGCATCAGGCAGGGCGTGGGATCCTCAGAAGGTGTTAGTCCCTTCCCAGATGGTGCTCACAGATGGCGAGACAAGGTGCACAACACAGGCTAGTGCACAAGGTGTGTAGGTGTATCCATCAGGGTCCCATCAGGAGTTGTCAAGCACATAGTAAAGAAAATGGGTGGGACACTGAGGCATCACAGGTGCAGTCATTGCTCCTGGGACGGAGTGCTGGGAAGAGGTCAGCGTAGGATGGAGACTCAGGAGGGCCCTGCAGAGAAGGCCATGCTGTCTGGTTGGTGCCGCTGCCTCTGAGGGCTCAGCGAGGCTGCTCCTGGGAGTGGAGAGACTGCAAGCGAACCAGCGCTGGAGCGCAGCAGTCAGTGTCCCGTTGCTGTGGTTTCACCAAGCAGCAGCAAACAGGAAGGCGGCATCCCTCCTTTTTCTCCTCTGGCCCTGCAGCCTGTCCTGTAGGGAACGAGCTGCTGAAGAAGTGTCAGCAGCAGCCCAGGCCGGGGTTCAGAGGGTGGTGGCTTTGCTGCTGAGACAATAATGCAGGGGACCAGCTTGGCCCACACATACGTGCTTACACACATACTTGAACTTCCATACGATGGTAAAAAATAACTTTGTGTCTCCATGGAACAAGATACAACTACCCTTTGTCCAAGCAAATATTATCCTACCCTCTCTGCAATTTAGAACAAAAAGTGTCAATCGGTACTCCTGTCCAAGAGACATTTACTACCTATCTCTGAACTAAGTTAATTACTCCTAGTTGGCTTGGTGGGTGGGAACACTCAGTTGGTAGTGGGCAGCTCAGGCCACATGGTCACTTGATGTCCTCTGAACTAGGTGTTCAGTCTCTGCTGGGCCCATAGCAAGGCAAAGGCGAGAGGGCCTGGGCCCACACGAGCCCTGCAGTTCTGCCTCGCGATGGTCCAGCTGGGGCCCGCTGGAGGCCCTGAGACAGCATCTGGCAACAGATAATTCCTGTATCTCGGAGTCTGCTCAGTCCTAAAGCCCAGGTGGCAGCTCAATTTTTAATAACTGCCTATTTCCTTTCTCTGTAAGAAAAATAAAAAAAATAAATTTTTAATAAGAATCATACCCCACAGATTTAATCAGTAAAGCATTCCGCTGGAGTGAGCTGTTACTTCATTAAGCCAGTTTAATTCCTTGATCAGTTTCCTATACAGAGCAATTAAATTGCTTCTTTCTGTTTTCGTTTTAATATTTACTTTAAAATACTTTCATTAAGATTGCTTTTTCCATGAGATTTTATGGTGAAAATTTAATTCAATTTAACCAATTCTGACTTTCGCCCTTGTGGGTTTTCTTTTGTAGCTATTGTCTTCCCCATGTTTATTTTCCCAAGTCAGATTTTGCAAATCAAAATCTAAGTCTTATAAATCTAAATTAGTATATTTTAACTGATGTCAGCTTTTTGTTAATTATTTCTAACTAAAAACTTACAAGATGGCCAGAAGATTAATAGTTTGTATTTCTTGGCTGTCCTGCAAGGAAATTGTGAGCAGTTTCACTCGGATATTCTTTGGTTGCTTTGTGTCCAAAGTTGGGCTGTTACTTCTACTCACATTTCATTCCAATAACTGCACTCATTGTACTGTCTACGCGGTTGGAAATGAAAGAGCAAAGCATTCTCAAAATATGTCCTGCTTTACTCAGTGGTGATGGGTAGCTAACAAACACATATTTTAAAAGGGGGCTTTGGAAGGCACCACTAGTTCTTGAACTAGACCCTGAGAGGGGACAAGGATGTGCGTGGGCGGTGCAGGCAGGCGTGGGTGGCCTGCCACCCTCCTCGCAGTGAGCAGACCTGGCCCTGCTCGCACAGGGCTGCAGCAGATACCCACTTACTGCCATGTGCCACACAGCCCCGAGTGCCGGGCCAACCGGGCGCTGAGGACCCAAAACTGGAGCGGGCAATGCTGGAGGCCGGCCAGGAAGCTGCTCTGACAGCCAGGATCGAATCACCTGCACCTGGGCAGAGGCAGCGGGGACTGGAGTGGCAGCACACTGTGGGATCAAGTCCCACACAGAGACGTAGAAAGCAAATGCTACAGGATTTGGAGAGGGCGACTAGGGAGCTGGAGGAGAATGGAGGGATGGTCAGGTTTGGACTGAGAAAACCAGGGGTAGAGCCAGTTTAGAGTGAGATAGTGAGTTCAGCTGTAGACAAGTTGAATCCGGGCTGCGGGGGCCAAGGTCTCCCGAAGACTAATTGGAGCAGAAGGCTGGCTCTCAGCAGCGTGCTCCGTGCTGGCTTCTTCAGGTGTTTCTATTCATAGTCTCAGCCCCCATGGCAACCTGGGGGATAGAGAAAAGCAGTCGGCACCGAGTTCTGAGTTCTGAGCACACTTAGTCATCACAACCACCTTATGAGTTCTTTTTACTCCCATTTTTGAGATGACGAACCTGGGCACAAATGGGAGATAATTTGCCGTAGGTCACAAAGCTCTTGGGTGGGTTGGGGAAACCGAGGCTCAGAGGCAAAGGGGTCTGGCCCCAAGGCAGATCCAGTAGTCAGGCCCCAGAGCCCATACTCTTCAGCTGCTACACCGGTGTTACGAAGCTTCGCGGCTGAAACGCAGTTTATCAAGGTGTAACTCAGACTGTCCCCCAACGTTGTATTATGAAAATTTCCACACATATAGAAAAGTTGAAGAAAATAATAAACACCTGTATACCATCTACTTTGATACATCCATTGTTAACATTTTGTGGTATTTGTTTTATCTAGGCTGCTATTATATTTAAATTATACGTTTTATTGGGTTGTTGTTTTTTGAGTCTCACTCTGCTGCCCTGGCTAGAGTGCCATGGCATCAGCCTAGCTCACAGCAGCCTCAAATTTATGGGCTTAAGTAATCCTGCCTCAGCCTCCCAAGTAGCTGAAACTACAGGCATGCACCACCATGCCCAGCTAATTTTTTTTTTTTTTTTTGAGACAGAGTCTTGCCTTGTTGCCCAGGCTAGAGTGAGTGCCGTGGCGTCAGCCTAGCTCACAGCAACCTCAAACTCCTGGATTCAAGCGATCCTCCTGCCTCAGCCTCCCAAGTAGCTGGGACTACAGGCGTGTGCCACCATGCCCGGCTAATTTTTTCTATATATATTAGTTGGCCAATTAATTTCTTTCTATTTATAGTAGAGACAGGGTCTCACTCTTGCTCAGGCTGGTTTCCAACTCCTGTCCTCGAGCAATCCACCCGCCTCGGCCTCCCAGAGTGCTAGGATTATAGGCGTGAGCCACCGCGCCCAGCCCCAGATAATTTTTTTATATGTATATTTTTTAGTTGTCCAGCTAATTTCTTTCTATTGTTTTTAGTAGAGACAGGGTCTCACTCTTGCTCAGGCTGGTCTCGAACTCCTGAGCTCAAACGATCCTCCCCCCTCGGCCTCCCAGAGTGCTAGGATTACAGGCTTGAGCTACCATGCCCGCCCTATTATTGGGTTTTTGCTGAATCATTTAAAGATAATTTGCAGACATTGTGATATTTCACCTTAAATACTTCAGCAGAGGCTGGGCACGATGGCTCATGCCTGTAATCCTAGCACTCTGGGAGGCCCAGGCAGGAGGATTGCTCAAGGTCAGGAGTTTGAAACCAGCCTGAGCAAGAGCGAGACCCCGTCTCTACTATAAATAGTTAGAAATTAATTGGCCAACTAATATATATAGAAAAAATTAGCCAGGCACTGTGGTGCATGCCTGTAGTCCCAGCTACTCTGGAGGCTGAGGCAGGAGGATCGCTTGAGACCAGGAGTTTGAGGTTGCTGTGAGCTAGGCTGACGCCAAGGCACTCACTCTAGCCTGGGCAACAAAGCGAGACTCTGTCTCAAAAAAATAAATAAATACATACATACATACTTCAGCAGATATCACCTAAGAATAAAGACATTCTTCCCCATAACCACAATTACTGCCAATATCACATCTAAGAAAATTAATAATTCTATAATATCACCTAAATATCTAGTTAATATTCAAATTTCCTCAACTGCCTCAATGTGTAGGTGCTTTTTTTTTCAAGCCAAAATTCAGTCAAGTTTGCCCATCACATTTGGATTTTATATCTCTTCTGTCTTTTAATCCAAACAGTCCTCCTACCTTTTGACATTTCTAAAACGTAACAGTTTGGAAAATATCACAGTCCACTGCATATGGTGAGTCTAACTTTATTAAACTTTTGCTTCAATTATTATTTAGTTAAGATACCAGTTCAACTGCCTTCATAAAAGCTAAAGTCGAAGTGACTGAAATACAGTAGAAGTTTATTTCTCCCTCTCTCGTAATAATCTAAGCATACGTGGTAGCAGTCCAGACTTGATGTGGCAGCTCCACCATACAGGTGGCCCATGATCTTTCATTTTATTTTTTGTAGAGACAGGGTCTTGCTTTGTTGCCTAGGGTAGCCTCAAATTCCTGGCCTCCTGCCTCAGCCTCCCAAAGTACAAAGATTACAGGTATGAGCCCTTGTGCCTGGCCTTATGATCTGTCTTATCACTCTGGCATTCTCAAACACAGCTTCCATCCTGTAATTTAAAATAAGCTCCAGTTCCCACTTTCTCATCTTCACTGCACCCAGCATGAAGGGGGGAATGAAAAAGGAGGGTACCCATTTCTTCTAAGGAAGATATCACCGCATTTCTGCTCTCGTTATGTTGGCCAACACTGTCATACTGTCAAACCTTCAGGGGAATCTGGACTTAGTTTGGTGTCACATGTGCCTTCTTGAATCTTTGAGTTTCTTTTTTTTTTTTTTGAGACAGAGTCTCACTTTGTTGCGCAGAGTGAGTGCCGTGGCGTCAGCCTAGCTCACAGCAACCTCAAACTCCTGAGCTCAAGCAATCCTCCTGCCTCAGCCTCCCAAGTAGCTGGGATAGAAAGAATCACGAGTTATTTCCTCCATATTAAATTAGAAAAACATTCCCGAGTGTTCAAATATCAGAACTTTATACCGGCAATGTCGCTACACATTTCTCACAAGGGCACATGTACATATATGTACAGAGATGGGTGGTGGTCCCTTAATATCTGTTTTTCCATATTCCTTTAATAATAGAAACTCAAGGGCTGGGTGTGGTGGCTCACGCCTGTAATCCCAGCACTTCGTGGAGGCCAGGCGGGCGGATTGCTCGAGTTCAGGAGTTCGAAACCAGCCTGAGCAATGAGCGAGACCCCGTCTCTACTATAAATAGAAAGAAATTAATTGGCCAACTAATATATATATTATTATGTAAAAATTGCCAGGTATGGATTGTGCGCATTACCTGTAAGT